ATAAAATCATTTGAATAATAAATTAATCATTCAAGATAAAATACAAAATTGATTGATGTCAACTTCAACAAAAAAAGTGCAGGAGTGTTTTTTTTATGCTTTAATGAAATACGGAAAATTTAAAACATACTAGGGACATTTTACCATTCCATCAAAAAAAACTCAAGAAATGTTCCTTTGCAAATAAACGCTTCGCATCCTGAACAATTATTAAAATATTTTTGAGAAAAAAAAATGAAATAATCATTATTTAAATTTGATATTTGTAAAAGAAAATGTAAAAATATGTGAGCATTTACACATCTAAAACTGCCCAGAAAAATGGAGTGGATATTAATAGCTATAAAGTGTATTTAAATACATAAGGATCAAAAAGGTTAGTTGAAAAAATTCATTGTATCTAAATGCATAGAAAATCACTTCTGTGTAACATAAAGTTAATGTTATAACTACTCCAAAGATATTTAAAGATAATCAGTTCCTCTAGTTTTTTACAAATCGTACTGCTTATTCTAGCCACACGAACACCGGTAAAACTGTAGACCAATTAACAACCTTGCCATACTGACACTTTGATATGAAAACCAAATCCAATTTACAAAAGGAAAAATATCATGAAAACATTTCAGGAAAAAATATCATGAAAACATTGCTTTTTTGTTCTGTAACCTTCTTAATAATTTTGTAAAGCCACTTATTTATTTTTTTCAACAAAGCTGAATAATAATCAGAGGTAAATTAACATTTGGATCAGATTTAAGGAGAATTTCACAGGAATAAAAAAAATATTTGAATGATAAGACTTTAGTGAACTATCAAGAAGATATCGTCTTCATCATGAAATAGGCAACAAAGGATAACAGAGCAACAAGTGCTGCAATGAGGAAATAGTAATTTATCGAGGTCATTTCACCAGCTTTAAGTACTGGAGGCAATACAACGGAATTTAAACTTGATGCTGATGAACTGGATCGTTCCACGTGACTAGGCCTATCGTCTTCATTCAACATGTTCAGTAAATCGTTTCCATCCAAGTGACGTTCGCTACTTATATCAATGTCATCTAAATATTTATCAGCTTTTTATGATAAATTATTAAACTACCAGCATATGAATCATGGAAAAAATTAAAACTGAAGAACTCGAAACACGTGTCTGCAGTATACATATTTAACGTATTGTCTGCCCTAACAAATCATTATTTTGAATTTAAATAACATAAAATTTTTTGAGCTGCCAATTCTAGAAAGAGTTAACTTAAAGCTACAAAAAATAATACATTAAAAGTATTGCTTACCCTCAGAAACTTTGAGACTTAAAAATTCTGCAAAAGACTGTTGTGCATCATTAGCCGTATCACTTTCAAAGAGATAGTCAGTAAAAACGATTGCCCGTTGACTGGGCAAACAAACATAAGCAGCACGAGGTAACTGATGTACCGCTAACCGATCCTTTGGTTCATCTTCGATAACATCAGTACTTTCATAATGTAGCTCTTTGAAATAAATAATATTTTTTTTCACAGATTTATTTAAGGTTTAAAGCATATAGTTATTCATTACAAAATCCCACTAGAAATTTTTGATTACGTCCAGAAATTTATTATTTTAAATTTACACCATCATTACCAAATGAAGATATATTTTAATAAATAAGCGCACTGTAATGATACACTAAAGATGCAATTATATGATCATGATTTAATAACAAGCAAATACTTACCAGCCCTACTACATAATGATCTTATTAAATGTTCTTTAACAGCATCAATTGCTTGACCAACAGTAGCTTTACTGGGCACTGCTGCCTTCGCAATAGTATCCACAATCAAATCAATAATGCAGGATGAAGATATCTTTTGATTACCGAAATCATGTTTCCCTTCTAGAATTTCGTCCAATCATAATTATTTTGTTTGTTCAAATAAACACATAGTTAGATCTTATGCCGTTAAACAGCTTTTTTGGTCTGGATAGCTATATGTTTGCTAGATTGTAGCTGTCTTCTGAGAAAAATAGTAGATAACTTGCATCATAAACATATCAATCTTTCATTGTTTTTATAAAATTCTTGAAGTTTGTCTAATTTATTTTAATGTTTTATGAGTGAAAAATTAAAATATCAGTGCAAATATTACGACTGATAGGAAAATCATATACAGTTATTCTCTACAGAGAAATATGCTAGCATAAATTGTTTCAATCATTAATCAAGCGCACCAGCATTTAAAAACATTTCAATATCAAACGTAGTTGGTCCTCGATTTTTCCGATCACGAGGTCTCAGAAACTCGTCTCGTGGTCGTGATAAGCCGTTTATCAATGCTAAATTTGTTTTCAAAAGCTGAAATAAGATTACTTTATTATTTCAATCTTCAAGCTATCATAATAGCGATCGAAACTCAAAGTTCAAGACTTAGACGCAGAAGATTCTTTTTTCTTGAACATATAAAAGTTCAGACAAAAAGCGAATCAAACAATGACAAAAATATTTACACATTCAGCCCACTCGCGTATTCCACTTGTAAACTGCTTGTGAAAATCCCAAACACCATCAGTTAGAGGTTCTGACAACCGAAAAGCAACAGATGATTCCAAACGTACCCATTCCAACTGCAGTAACATAACTCCTTATACTATATCTCTAATTACCGTACAGCGCTATAAAAATACACCTAGGATATAAAATCCGAAACATATATTAATTTAACATTAATCTAGTTCAAGAACAACATTTTAATAAGGATCACACTACTCCTACCTCACATCTGGTTTACGCCGCTTACGCCCTCAGTAGTAATTAAGTAATTAATATAATCGTATCAAAAAAAAGATTCAATGCAAAAATCATAAGCGAAAAGACTTCATCAAAAACCAAATGTGGAGGATACCTGACTGAAGCTCACTTTGGTTTGTGAACCAGCAGCACCTCTTCGACTGCAATCAATAATGCATCCAAACGGCTTCCCCAATGGTGTTTCGATTCCAATTAATATCTGAAATTAAAAAAAAAAAGAACCAATCTAAACTTTATAATGTATCTTCTCTCCATCTTTGGAATTCTAAATCTTATAATTGAAAAAGACAAAGAAGAAAAATAAATAGTTGAGGCAAAAAAAAAAGAAAGATGCGGAGAGTTAATCTAACGTGCACTATTCCTTCTTCCAATCTTATTTAATTCTTCGCTGTTAGAAATTGGTAAATATCCAGAATCTTGTAATCATTGAAAAGCTAAACTTCAAACAACAGGAGATGAACAAACCAACGTATTGTCAATAGGCTTGATGCTCAGAGAACTGAGCGCATTATGACGGATTGCTATCTGGGAAAGTGCTCGAACAAGTATATCACGAACTTGTGCTGACTGCAACGATGCTTTTGAATCAGCTAACCACAGCAAACCTAAATTATAAAGAATGAAAATCTAGATTTGATTGTAATTATATATCATACTATTTTCAAACCGACACTGAGCAGACATCAAATTTAAAAAAAAAAAAAAAAAAAAAACATCACATTATGGTGTAATATTAAGAATCAGCTGGAGGAATGATTACTTAATAAAGAAGTAAGAACAGTTTCAATTAAACTCAGTAATTAACATTGCTAAATATACATTCAAAAACAGTTACCAACTATCATGGTCCCACCAGGTAGAAATCTTAAAACACGTGAACCGGTATCAGCGATCCAATCAGCATCCACTGATTTCGAATGAATATCACCACTCTGCAAAATACACTTCTTTGAAATTGACTAATTCCTACTTCAACAATAAAATAATAACAAAATACATCTTTTCAGTGTACATTTTTCAATTTCATTTCACGATATGATAACTAAATTTCTCTTCAAAATACTCGAGAAACCATTAAAGTCGTGACCGCAATGAGAAGATTAGCGAATGATATATGTCCAACCATGGGTTTGTTTGAAAAATGATACCTCATCTCTTATAGTGTCAGGATGAGCACACATTGCAATGTGTGCCACATGAAAATCTTCATCTATCTTGGAACCAATCAAAAACCCAGCGCTACCAGTAATTGCATACTTCCTCTGCTTATCACAGTGCTCCCGTATATAAGAATTCAATACAAATTCCAAACACTTATCCAGTAGAATCATTATGATAATTACAACAGTTGTGTATATTTATAGCATTTGTTGATAAGAAGCATCAAAAATTCCTGCAAAAGATATTATAGCAGTTCACAAAGAGGATTCCTATGTATGGCTACAAAAGTGGAAAGCAGTCTGCATAAAACCATGTCTACATGTCATTTTCTCTTGAATTTTAATAAACAATGTCATTAATAATTGTACGGTCACTGATTTATACCAAATATTAACTGCTTCAATCAACCATCCATAGAAATATTTATTTCAGACAATTAAATGAAAACACGCATCAACGGCAATCTACAGCGGTTAATCATTTCGGTGTTTCAAGTTACAAAGTATTGACAGCAATGAATAAACAATCAGTAATCACACTAGTGTAAGAAATACATTGTTAATTTAAATGAAGGATGCGAGAAATGCATTTACCAGTATTTAAACTCGTATAATTTCAAAAGCTATAGGTTTTCAAATCCAATGTACAATTTAAGAAAGCACAGGAATAAATACAATACATCAAACCAAGTTTTCGTGCTCGTCGAACTAATTTTTCTGTTTCCTGTAATTAAAAGAATCAAACCAAAACAACAGCTTTTACTGCTACCAAAAAAAGGAGGAAAATTCGAATGTGAACGAGAAACGAGCATTATCTCTGCGACGAAATGTTTGAAATTTGGCAGTATATCTTAATTCCCAAAAAATTTAACATGGCTTCCACAAAACGTGAGCACACAATTACGACAGTGTCGTAAAATATGAGCATCCAACGATAATGTAGATAATTCAGAAAAATGTAATATCGGAAATGCTCAAAACTTAAAAAACGGGCAAAAAATAAATCTCTAATATAGGACTAAAAATTATTCAGAAAATTTAGAATTACCTTTTTGCTACTTGCTTGCCAAGTATGAATGAACCAACTAAGCCAGCAACAATAGCACTTACTTTGAAAAAATCCATCCACTTTATAGCTCCAGTCGGTGAATCATCCTTATCATCCTTGAATTATTTTATGCTATTTGATTGATGTTTTAAAGATTCATTAATTACAAAATTTCATTAATATTATAGTAACAAATATGCACACATAAATCTAGAAGTATATCAGCTCCTTCCATTAGCTCACTGCCGAGATAATTTGATTCTCCAACGGTTTCATACTGTACTATTCGGGCAATATAAGTTAGATAAGGTACAGAAATTCTATGCACAAAAACGAACTACTTACGAGATTTTTAAAGCAGTAGAAGCAGTAGGATTTTTAAAGCAAATACTAAACATTTGTATGTCTTAGAGAACAAAATGCAAAAAAATCATATTTCTAAATTACCCCTACGAAAAAAAAAATTACTTTGAGATTTAATGCGCGTGCTGAGGGTCTCGGATTTTCACAATACTTCACTAAACCTTTCCCATAAATCGGGATGATCTAAAAAAGAAAAAAAAATCAACTTTCACTATCATTTTATTGCTTAAAATAAAGAATTTCAACAAAATCTGGGAAGCAGGATATATTCCAGGTCGATTTAAAATGACGTGATTTCCAAAGAAATTGCATGTCAATAAAAGCCATGCATATAAAAACCAATGAATGGAAAGTGACCTGAAGATACAGTCACACGCTTAAAAAGACTACAAAATTTAGCCTTCACTTCTTTATAAGATTAGATCTCCGTGTAATCTATCCCAACAGTTTCTTAGAAAACAATTTTCACATCCAAAAAACTATTAATATCTACCAATGCCGTCAGACATTACATCTGGATTTCAAAATATCACTGCATTTTTGTAAGGCACTCTTGCATGATATATATTTTTTACATTTATAAACAAGTATGAAAACATACACCACCATCTCGTACATGCGTTTTACAGATAGGACATTGTTTATTTTCATGTGCGTATTTATTCAACCATTCATCAATACACTCCCAGCAATAAAAATGGCCACAGCTAAGAACAACTGGATTCACTGCTTCTTTATAGCAAATGCTGCATTCATACCTAAAATCATTGTGAGGAAAAACAAACAATTAATGTGAGATTAACTGAAAATTTCATGAGACAGAAAACTAGCATTTTTAATCAAATAGAGATCACCATCATGCTAACATAATTTCAGAAGCCAACTTAAATAATGATACTATTAATGTCTCAAGATTTTCAAAATCAAATATTTGAATAAAAGTTTAAAAACTGTGCAAGTAAATTCCTTCACTACCAGAATAAATTAGCAGAGTTCATACATATCTACATAGATTGAAGTTCGAATACATTGACTTACCTCGAATCGTCCTCGTCGCTAGTGCTGTTTCTAGATTCCCTACGGCACTCGCGACGCTTTTCAGATGTGGCCATCGATATATATATATAGATATGGCTTTTCTGCAGTATCTTTTGATAAGTGAGATACATATCACCAAATAAAAAACCTTATTTTCACATCACATTATCCTATAAATCACGCAAAAATACATCAATGCATAAAGAACATCAAATAAAAAGCGTTAACAAGCAATACTGTTTACTTCACTTTTTTTGCTGCTTTTTCATTTAATTTTTTATTTTTTTTTATCTTTTATTTTTCGAAAGAAAAAGTATTAAAAGTACTGCGAACTCGAAATTATATGAAAACAATAGAAAGAAAGAAATTAAGCGTCAACAAACAATACTATTTATATGAAACAGTTCTTCCGAAAAAATATTTCCATCCCATATTTGCAAAATTAATTACTGCACAACATTAGCAACAAGCGATATCATTGGTCACATTTATTATTAGCAAAATAATCATTCTTCTCCTCGCCAATTACTCTTAAAATTTTACAATTATCATTTCGCAAATAATTACCAACATTCCTTATAACCCGTCCACTTCTCCCAGTCCCTCCCAAATACACCAGCAATCTGTCCAACGCTATGACTTAGTTGATTTCAACTGTTGCAATCAAGTTGCGCCATCGATGCATGCTACAGGTTGTGAAAAAGCTTTGATACGAAATGATTTTAATTGAAGACGAATTGTTTTATTGTTAACCATTTGAAGTTATTTCTTTTATTGAACAAATTAATTAGTGAAGCAGAAACTTTGGTTATGGTGTTACTTCTGTTACATTCATTATCATTTTATCTGTATGTTATTAAATATCAAACAAATTATGTCAGTTTTTTTTTTAATTTGTAATTAAATTTCAAAGTTTCCAAATAGTGCAGTATTTGGAAATTCCCCGCATAAAACTTTCTTTTCTCATATTTGAAAGAGCATTATCTCATAAAATAATGATGCAAAGATTATTTGCAGATATTTGGAATCTTCTGAATTTGAAAAACAATAATTCAAATAAAAGTAATTTTTTTTTCTAACATATTAATCATTAAGAGTATTGCTAAAATAATATATGCTCGCAAGTAAGAGTTTGGAAATTTCCAAATGTTTTCAAATGCTATCTAATTGTATGTGGATAACATTAAAACTGAACTAGATTAGATGATTTAAAATGTTTTTAGTCTAATTTAGAATAATCCAGTTTCTAATTAGAATATAAATAGTATTTCAATTTCAAATAAATGTATGTGTTATTAATAATGGTCACGAATAAGACACGATGGTATTGTTTATCCGATAGTTACACTATCATACAAATTTCGATTTAAAAACCATATTAAATCATCCTAGTAAATATACCGAATATGATGCACAATCGTACGAGATTCTAAGCAGTGATCAAAACATGCAATAAAAATTTCTTTCCGCGAGTGGAACTGCAAAAGTTGATCTCTTGATGGAAAAGAGTGCCGGCATGCGTCAGGGGGGAATCGAACCCCCGTCGATTGCTTGGAAGGCAACCATGCTGACCATTACACCACTGACGCCCACATCGCTGATGTATTTCGTAATATATGAATTCGAATTTGAATTTGAATTACATATAACTTCGAAGTTGTATCACTGTAATAGTACTTAAAGGTGGAAAATTCACTAAAGCTAAAAGCGGATTATACAATAATTTTGAATAACTGATTGTTTCCCTTGTTTTATAACGAGATATTTTCAAACAATTTGTTTTTACAGTAATATTTTTGCAATCAAACTGGCAAAAGAGAAATTTATTTTTTGCCGAATGTCAATCACAACTAATAATGAATGTTATGATAATAATTTTAGCTATACAAAATCAAATAATAATGAATGTTAATATGTGATATTAATTTTGCTATACAAAATATCAGAAATATTTAACGAATTTAGTATAGTATGGGCATTGCTCATTCTGTTAATTATTTATTTTTCTGGCTTATAAATTGCACAAATTAAACTACCGATGGGATCAATTGGAAATGTCAAGAAGAAAGCGAAATTACAATATAATGTCGAAATAATTTCGTAGGCAATGGTTACTAATATATAAAAGTAGTTAAAATTACCATTTGCTCAGTTTTGCGTTTATTAAGCTTCGATTCGGTTCTTTTCGGCATGCATTTCTCAACTCGCTTCAATAAACTGTGATGCAGTAGGAAGTATGACATTTTTGTGAACCTCAGTGAATTATTGATTTAATTTAATATTTACTTTTGTTCATTTCTTTATATGATGTCATCAAAGTTTAATAAATTTACTGATAGTACTGTGGAATTACGATAGTAACAACATATTTTGTTAAAAAACTTTACCAACAGAAGTAAATGTGAAGTTTATAAGCTGAACTTTCGAAACGATGAGATTTTTCAATCTACTAAGATTTTTATATTTTATATTAGCATACAATGGATCCACCATTTTTTGGATTATTAAAATTATCTAAAAGTGATTGATTTATCTGAAAGAAGTTCTTCTTTTCAGCTAGCATAAACAATATAATCGCTGATCTGAATTTTTTGAATTTGTCAACATTTTTCTTCTTTGTTTACACATAACTGGCATTTTTTAAGAATGAATAAATGTATTAAAATGCATAATATAACAAACTTTTTGTTAGTCTTTATGCGATTTACCCGAAACGATGAACAACTTCCCATATTCATAATAGTTTTTTGCAATCTATGTTTTGTATCCTCAAAACTTCCATTAAAGTTTTATAAGCTCAGCTATACCAACCTGATTCAAACACTTTGTGTACTTCACAGTTTCTCGGAATAATTGGATTTTTCGAAATCATGATAATATTTTTTCTATGCTTTTTAATAGTGTTCATACATATATATATTTGAAATTGATCTTAAATAAATTCCAGTGATGTTATCAGTTATCAAAATTTAACAATAGCGTTGTTGGCATACTATTGCTGCTTTATAGCAAATAAGGTGATTGGTATAGAAAGGTTGACAGGTTAATATTTTCGGAATGTTTCAAAATGTGCAGTGCTTTCTCATTGTGTCCTTCTTTTTTTCTCTTCTCAAATGAGCTAACGACTACTGTGCTATAATAACTTCTTGTCACCACCTTTGTCTGCATAAAATGAATGTCATGACCTTTGCTTGAACAAAATAAACTGACCTTTACTTGGACAAAGTGATGCTTATGTAGAAAGAAAATATACGTTAAGGCGGAGCAGCGATGGCCGAGTGGTTAAGGCGTTGGACTTAAGATCCAATGGACGCTAAGTCCTCGTGGGTTCAAACCCCACTCGCTGCAAATCAAACCTCGTTTTTAGTTTGCTTTGGTATGAAATATTGCAATCTAAGGTTTTTGACAAAACGCATAAAAGATTTGTTCCCTTATTATTGATATTAATGATTTTTTTAAAATAATTTATCAAATGAAGAAGGAAATAATTAAAATAACTTTATTGATAAATATTTTAAACTGTTTAACAAAGTATTGGTTTCATATCTTTATATGATTATAGTTTCGTATTACTATTATTTAATGAAATTCTATAAAGTATTAATTGTTAAAGTAATCCATAATACATTTGTTATTAATATATTTGCTATCATTTGCTAGATTTTTAATAACTGTGTTATATTTACTTTCATAAAAATATCAAATTTAAATTGTTTCATAAAAAATTATGACCTGATTAGTAATTATATTGTGTCAGTCTTTTATGACAATAATTTTACTTTTTTCTACATGTTATTATAACATTTATTTAATTATGTAGCATAATATTCCTGATAAAATAATTTTATAATATAAGATGAATAATTTTGGGGGCATTTAACACGTTTGTCAGTCCCGAAATAAGTGACAACTAAGAATAACAGTCAGTTCATTCGTGATTCAATGATATATGACAATTAAAAGTAAACAATTAAGAATTATAATAGTTCTTTCTTTTTTGAATGAAATAAATTAAATTGAGTTGCAGAGTGTTCAACTTTAATATTTTTATAAAAAGTATCGAGAAAACATAATATTAAGGAAATGTGATATATTCCTAAATGTATATCAAAATTGTTTTCAAATTTAGATTGCAATAATTATTTTCAGTAACAAATTAATTATGAAATTTCATCATTTGATGATTTATTGCATTCCGTTCATTATTAAAGAAGTTTTAAATTGTTCACTGATTCATAAATGCTTACGTAGTGACGTAATGAAAGTGTATAATGCTACCTGTCATAGTCAAAGGACAGCTTTAATATTTTAAACTAATATTTGACTAATTTCACAAATCAAATTAAGCTATGGATTAAATACTTAACGAAATAAAATTACGTTTGTTGTGTTCCATTATATCTTTTTTGTGATATATTTCCTTCTTTAGCACTCCAAAAAAAAAAAAAAAAAAAGGCAAAACAAAAAAAAAAAACAAAAACAAAGAACAAAAATCTTGAAACTAAAACTACTGAATGATATATTACCTATATTCTTTACAGCGATTTTTCTCGGAAGATAAATATTGTTAAGATGAATAACTAAAAAGAAGATATTGAATTAAATTATCTTACCAATTTGTGGTAATTACTGTTATTTGAAATTTTTTAGCTAGTATTTACTTAATGATTGTATAATGAAATTCATTATTACAGTATTTTGCTGCATGCATTAGCCAAATAACCACCACTTTACTTCGAATAATGAATTACACTTCGTTTGCATTATTTATACCAATGCTACATAAACAAAATCTCTTTATTAATGCAATTTAAAATAAAACAATGTAATAAAACATTTTGTTTTGTAAACAGAAAAAAAATTGTTTCAAAAGATTTTTGAAGAATAATTTCGGAATAATGTATTAAACAATGGATGAAAATAAATAAAAAAATCGATTAAAATATTAGCTTGAATTTTTCTAGTTTTTTTTTCTTCCAGTCAATGTTTACGTTTTATTCGTTCTTTTCCATTTATTTAGCCAATTTAAAATATATTTCTAATGTATACAGCCAATTTGAATGCAATAATAACAACAATGTAATAAAAATAGCTAATTTGGATGTAATATTAGCAACAATAATTTCTTTGTCTATTTTACTTCCACTAATTTGTCCTAATTTATCATATATCATTTCCTATCATCAATAATGATACTAATTTATGATATATCATCCATTATAATTGATACTACTAGTAGATGAAATATTGTCAAATATTCGATCTAAATCTGATCTTTCTCATTTTATGATATTCTCCTTTGCATGTATCTCACTATAATTTTTTTTTTCATCATATTTCTAACAAAATAGCACTATGAATTAACTATTACTTTATTTTTGTTTGGTTTAAACATTTTAAAATTTTTATTTTCATTTATTCACTAGTGTTAATTATAGTATGCAAATTGGATAACTATTAAATGGTAAGGCGCAGAATAAATCGACGTAACAAACGTCAACTTTACGGCGTATTGGGAGAAGATTCATCATTATCAGCTATAATATATTTACCAAAAACTAAGAAACTACGACAATTTCCAACGTATATTTGATAAATTTCCTGAATAATTTGAAATTTAAAAATCGCATAAATTAAATCATAGATAAACAGTTTTAGGATTGCTTCCCTATTATAAACAAAATTTTTGATCATTAGAAAGTTTACTCGAAATTCAATAATGTTTGCGAGAAAAAAATAAGTTTAGAAATTTGTTCTTTGATGGTGCAAAGAATGATAATGGAAAAAATCATCAGTTGATGCTATTTGCAATGATAATATTCATCTTTAGTTGTCAACGTTTTTGTTTGTTTTCATTTGGTTTATTTATTTCGATCATCTTGGCATTATTATTAAACTATTTAAATGGACCTATTCGATCTATAAAGTACAGGTAAAATTGAAATTTAATTTCTATTAGTTTGTTTTTTAAATTTTCAGATCTTTATCAAGATCTGTTAGAGTAGTTTCAACAAACAAAAAGATTACGGACAAGAAGAAAAAATGGGTTGCCATTATAAAAAATTATTTTGAAAGGTCATATCTTATATGCACAAATATATGAAAAATTATTTTAAAGAAGTAGTAACTTTCGATTTTTTCAAATTTTAATTAAAAAAAATGCAAACATTCTCATATTTTATCTACCAATATTAATTAGCTAAATTTTGTAGAAAAAATTTTAATTAAAATCTTTTGAGTAAAATATTAAGATATTACTTTTATAATGTTTGCTGTCATGGAATTAAATAGAATACTGATGGTATTTAATAATGTTTATGGATGTAAATTCGAAGTAACTTGATAGATTATACAATTCCTAGTAATTAATTGATTATAAGTATAAAGGATGTAACAAATTTTACTTTTTTTATCTTTTAAAAGTATGTAGAATAACTGATTGACTTTTTTTTTGCTTTTTTTCTCAAAATAGAGGAATAATATGTTATAGTAGTTTTTTTGTTCCATTTTTTTCCTTTAATTTATATAAATATTTACATTTTAAACTAATTTTAATTTTAGACTCCCAAAACCACCGGAACTTACTGGTACCTTAAGACCAAATCAGGAGTTAACCCATGCAGAAATATTGTTGCCAAATAGAATCAATGGACCGGAATCGATTGCAATACATAAAAAAAATAAAACTATATATGTTGGACTTAAAACCGGTTTGATTGCTGGAATTGAAATTGATAGATTTAAAAAGGTAGACACAGTTTAATGCTATTTTTTATGTATTCTAATTTTGATATATAAAATGAGTGTTATGGTATTATAGCATTGAATCAGAAAAATCTCTTTATGAAGCATAAGCTATTAAATTCATATCTAAAATGAACCGGAATTCTTGTCAGAAATAAGTAATTTTGCATAGAAATACATAAGAGTGAGGTATATTTTAATGATTAATTGTTATATAATCAATAGGTGAAGTTGGTGAAAAGTATCAAATTATTTAAAAGACCGGAATACAACAGACCATGTGATGGAAGTTATCATTCAGTACTGGAATGTGGTCGTCCTTTAGGAATGCGGTTCAACCGGAAAAATCCTGATTTATTACTTATTGCTGATGCTTATTATGGAATTTTCGAAGCAAATGTTCAAAATGGTATAAACATTCTAGAAAAAACCAAGAGAACATTACCAAAAAATGATCTATTGAGAAGATATCTTAAATATCTTAGTATTTTCATTTATTTGTAGTAGTAAAATTTTCAGGATTACATGAGAACAAAAAATATTAATTCATCAAAATTGAAAACATTAATAACACTTCTGATAAATGTAATATAAATAGTGTTAATTTGAAGTTTTCAAATTCTATCGGTTTTTCAAAATTTTCTAAATTTTATTAATTTCAAATTATTACCCTCTAGTAATTTTTCAAATTAGCAAAAATTTAAATACAGTTTTTTAATAGCATATTCAATCCTTTTTTTTTTTTGCCCTAACAATTATTTAATTAATTGCTTATTTATTTTCAAAAAATTATAATATTTATTTAAAAAAATACATATCAATACTAATAGTAGTGAATTCTTGGAATAATTTTTTATAATTAAAATTCATTTAGGTGTATGAAATTTTAGAGACGGTAAGACAAATTTTAAAGCCTGGAACAAAGATAGCACATAGCTTATCTTGGCCAGTTGTCCATTTTAATGATTTTGATATCAGCCAAGATGGACATCATATTGTTTTCACTGAACCATCTCATCGTTTTGCTGACCGTGATTGCTTTTATGCAATGGTTGAACATAGATCGGATGGAAGGTAAATTTGCTATTTCAACTTAAATTATTCATCTTGAAGAAGTGGTTTTCAGAATTTCCTGTAATAAAAGCTCATCAGATATTTTCTTGCAAATTAATTTAGATTCAGAATTTAATAATCTGTTTTGGTTGAGTTGAAAATTTGCAAATTGCTAAAATATTAAATATTGATTATTAATAAAAGTCGAAATTAATGTACAAAAATTTATATTTTAATCATAATTCTATTTAGATTATTACATTATAATATGCATACCGGTGTACTTCGTGTACTGATCGATGATTTATATTATCCGAACGGTGTGGAATTTGATAAAACTGGAAAATGTGTATTTTTTTCCGAAATGGGCAATCTTCGAATACTCAAGTCAAATTTTATTGCCAAATTTATCAAAAAATGATTATATTTAACGCCTTAAATGACGATTACTTTTTGGACTCATAATTTTCTAATGTTAATTTAAACTTCAGTATTTTATTAATGTGTAAATAATAACTTCAAATTTTTGATTACTTTTTGTCCTTGCTTTACAATTAAATATTCACTTTGTTTAATTATTTTTTCTCAGCTTTTCAGGTATTGTTTCAATTATAAATCTGGAAAATACATGATCGTAGCAAATAATTTGCCTGGATATCCGGATAATATTCGAACAGCCAGTAATGGAATGCTATGGGTACCACTTGGCCAAGTTCGCTTAGAAGATGATTCTTGGATTACTGAAAGACCTTTTCTAAGAGATATCATTGCTATGGTATTTCTTTTTTTTTTTTTTTCTATTGTCTTACAAATTTAAAAGAATTATGCCATTATTTACTGATTAGTCAAAAATTGGAAATTTTTCAAAAGTGTTTAAAAAAAAGTCTTTCTTTCTCTTTTTACCAACCAAATTTCTATTGTCATTAAGTATTTTTTCTTTTATTGATAAAATCTTTAGAAAAAAAAAAACATTTAAATAGAAAAATATTGTACTGATAATACCTATGGATACTTTATGGGCAATCGTCAGAAAATACCGTACTAATATTTCATACGGATAATTTATGCAAAAAATATAGACCAAAAAATATTACATTATTACAGGTAGTAAAAACTCAAACGTTTATGACAATTCTTGATTATTTCTTACCCAAATATGGCTTGTTATTGCTTATTAATCCAGCTAATGGTACAATTATGCGAAGCTTCCATGATCCTACCGGTTCAACTATAAATTCAATTTCACAAGTAATAATTTTTTTCTTCAGCTAGTTAGTTTTGTTTATTAATTAAGATTTTACCATTATTTTATTTAATAGTTTACATAGTTGTATATATTTGCATATATATTGTACTTTGTATATATACAATATCAGTGGTAATTATTCTTTTTTTTCTTGTTTAGGCGATCGAACTTAACGATGGTACTATTCTGCTCGGCAGTGATAGTAATACGTTTTTGGCCAGATTTAAACCATCAACAATATTATGATATGATTTTTCATGGAGCGAAAAAGAAGACCTGTTCTTATTTTGAAATGATTAAATCATTTAAATGATTTCTATTTCATATTTTAATTCATCATGCAATTGAAGCCTTAAATATGCAATTTGCTTGAATTCATAATTTAAAATAAATAAAATGGGAAAATTTTATTTGCTTAGGATCGAAAATTAGAAATTATAAAATTGGCTTATTTCAAAATCAATCATTGCTAATAAGTGATAATAATAATAATAAATTATAATGATGAAATAGTGTAATAATAGTGATAATAATAATCACAATAACAATAATAATAAGATAATAATACAGTGAGAAAACAGAAAGGAAATTTTATAAAACTACCATAAAAAAGGAATGAAAAGAAAATTACACTTTGTCGTCTTCTTCATTCATCACATCGTCAATAT